ACTGACATGGAGAACTTCTGTTAATGGATAGCGGATAGCGGGAGCATTAGCAAAGGGAGAAAAACTGCTAAGAGCGAGAAGAGATAGGAAATTATGGAGAGCCATGATCGACTATGTGCTGAAGGGAAGCGACACATAGAAGAAGAAGAAGAAGAAGAAGAAGAAAATACATGTCTTAGGGCTCTTTCAGATGTGGGAGATAACAATAATATACAACTAAGAGCTACAAAGGAGGGAAAGTTGTGGCGAGCCATGGTCGCCTATAACATGAAGGGACGCGAAACACAGAAGAAGTGTAAGAAACTAAAAAAATAAAATAAAAACTGCAATGTCACGAATGGGCGACCAGTTTTCGTGCTCAGGTCTTTTTATTACATAACATTGTTTTGGTATTGACATTACCATTCTTGACAAGATGCACCCTGGGCGAAATCTTTTCGTCTCTTTCGCTACTGTTCACTAATTATCGTTGGCACATATGACATTACCAGACGAGTGCTGCCAAGAATCATTGCTTTCCGTCATTGTTTTGTTTGCAGTACACAACTCACAGATATATGGCGTTTAACTTATAAAATCATGTTTATTCCCAAAGTCTTTCAACGGCGACAATTCTTCGTAAGGTGCATTCGTAACAGTCACCAAATATCGTACTCATTGTAGGAATTACGCTGAGACATTCTCCCTCGGTAAGTCATTTGTAACGGTCACCAAATATGAAAGTCATTGTAGGAATTATGCTGAGGCATTCTCATTCGGTAGGTCATTTGTAACGGTCACCAAATATCGTACTCATTATAGGAGAAATGAAATACTAAATTATGAAAAGCGGTACGGACCCGCTATCATAACCCACTAACAAAAACCATCGGACACTGAATATAAAAGGCTTGAACAATATACCACGTCTGTCAGGTTGTGTAGTGGATATAGGTGTTATCTATATACCCTTAGGAAATACGTCAGATATTAATGTCATTAAGTAGTGGCGGTTTCGATTTTGGATCATGTCAATCATCGGTTCTACAAAAGGAACAGTGACAAAACATAACCCAGTAATCAACAGGTATCCCATATCAAGCAGACAATGAACGACATGATGATGACCAGAAAGTACTCGGTTGAAATGTTGTATCCATAAAATTAATATGCGTTCTTTTACGGCTTATCAACCCGTTGCGCCTTATTTAAAGTCAAAAATTTTTTTTAGATTGTTACAATTTTGTTTGGAAATAATAATGCTTTTGTGATGAAAGTCTTACTAATTAACCCATAGAACGGGAGAGAGGACGTGGATTACTATCTTTCCTAAGAGTATTTTTCTGCGTCAGACAGTGTCTACTTGTATCCAGTGGAACCGGGCGAGCAATAACTGAACAGTACTAAATAAAAATGAGAACTAGACGATATCCCTAGACATAAGCAGTGGAACGAGGACAGTCTACACCCGTGGATTAAAGAAAGGGTTCAGTTCAGAATTCCCTGTAGTTTACGCACATCGATATACACCTGAGAGAGGTCCAAGGACACAACGGTCGAGACATTGAGATAACAACAAATATGATAATAGCCCGAATATAAATAATGTAAATAATAAATATAGTATGTTGTTAAATTCATATTTATTATTAATTAGCTTAAAAGCCTCCCTATCGTGCGGCATTTAAGCTACAGAGGGCTCTTGATTGGTCCTTCGTCACAATAAGTAGAGAGAAGTAGATGCGATATGCAACAATAAACCACAGAAGAACTCAAAATTGATCGTTGCATTTAAGTATTGCATTAATATTTAAGCTTGCTTTTTAAAAGTTCAACAACAATTTTTCTGCTGCCACTTAATTTAAATACAATTTGATGTACATATGTCCTTACTTTCCATACAAACAGTTATTTTTATTTTATGGGTGACTTTTGATGGATTTCGCAATTGATTATTCCCAAATTTATTCCCAAGTTATAAAAATTGTTATTGTCGCAAAAAATAATCTAAAATTGTTATTGTCGCAAAAAGTAATCTAAAAATCGCCGAAAATAATCCAAAATTTTAGAATTACGTTTTTTAATTTTTTAATGTATTTAATTTGCTCACGTGATTCCAAAATAGTACGATATGATTGGCTACAGCCTCTAGTTGAAAACACAGATAATTTTATTTTGAAACGCTGTAACTTGAGAACTAATTTTTTCATGAACATGAGCTATTGAAAATTGGAGAGTTGTGTCCATTTAATTTTCTTTATCAGTCGAAGCCAAGATGGCAGAATCCCCTCAAAAAAAAAAATCGCCGTAAACACGGGGATCCAAAATTTCATGATTACGGGTCCGGATTCGGCCTGGAATGTTTTTAATTTACTCACAGCGTAAAACACTGACATTCGAATTTATTATATAGATAAAACATTAAGAAAACTTTTCTCTGTCAATAGAATGGATATTCGGTACATATGTGCATTCAACGATAAGCTAAAGTTAAATATATTGTAATTATGTACTCACCATTACTTTACGTTGGCCCATAAGCTTCACTCTGAAATCCTTAAATCTGATTTCAACAAAACGAGTAAAAGAAATACGTTGGTCATCTTTGCGATGTTCGTTTTTCACTTCAACTTGAAAGTCGGTCAAATTTAATCCTGACATTGGTTTTGCCATCAGGTATTTACAGACTCCAGCAAAACTGATCCCTTGGCCGTCGAATAATTGATAGTGAGGGTCGCCATGCCCCTTGCATATGCAAGGTCGCATATCTACATAATAAAGAAATGATGTGATAAGTGATATTATTTATGATTACAGTATCCACCCACCCCCGCAAAAAAAACAAAAAACAGACGATAACTTTTTTTCGAAACAATAAACTCTATTAAATATTACCCTTACACCGACAAAATAGGGTGTTACAATCATCAAAACACATTTCTTTGATACAGTAATTATCTAATATGTTAAGAATTAAATATGTGTCCTGATATTCCAAAAGTCATAGCACAGGTGTCTGGTATCATGTAGTTCCTCGAGGAAGCCCTGTACCTTAAGAAGATATTGGGCCTCAAACTCACACGCGACCTCAAGTGGAACTCCTATATACAACCCATCACTAAAGATGCAGGTAAAATGATCGGTTCCCTGAACCGCTCCAGTAAGTACCTGACTCCTCATGATATCCTCTACCTTTATAAGAGAGAGATCAAGCCCATATTTGGGCGGGAGCTGCCCTGACCCCACTTTTCAGCCTAGATAGAGTTCAAAAGCGTCTCCGAGCCCTTGTTAGAGAAGAATTATTTCCCACAATCTAACCTCTCTCTTTCAGGCGGGATGTGATGAGTCTCTCACTACTCGATTGCTACTGCCACGGAAAGTGCTCGAACGAACTACATTTCTTGGTTCCACCAGGTCTAACCTTCACGGTTAGGACTCGCCATGCCACTTATATTCCTTCCATATTCCATCGGCGAGAAGTAAATTTCACTCAAACTGCTTCCCGCGAACCGCTGCCCCGTGGAACAGACTCACAAGAGAATATTTCCCCGATCACTACAATCTTAACCATTTCAAGTCTAAAGTCAATCCATATAAACTACCCCTTAACGTAATCCTCTACTTCGATTGGCCTTTGGGCCTTGTACTGTAAAAAAAAAAGAAAAGAAAAAGTACACCAATTCGATGTCGCATCGTTTCTACAAGTCGTAGGAAAACTCCTGGGGAGTTTCAATAACTATTCATACTCCTAGATATCTGTCGATATTCAGTCACCCCCCACCCACGAGGGTGTCATGTGGCACAAGGCCTTTTTAACGTGGGCATTTCCGAGCCTTTAGGCTCGGCCAAAAAATAGCCCATTTGAACCCGTATAAACGGGTTCAGGGCCGGTTTTACCTCCCCGAAGGAGACTCCGCCCTTCGGCGTAGCCTCCTTCGGGTTCCTCCCGCCCGTAGGAAGAGAGTTTAACCGAACAGTCGGTTCAGAGTTGAACGACTGACTCCTAGATATCTGTAGGCACATATATACGAACAGGCCTCTTCATCACGTTCCATGAATTCAAGTTTGTTCTGATATTGGGTGAATATCATCCAACTAATCAGAAGTCTCGAGAAAACCAATCCAGGTCGTTTTGGGCCTGATGACACCCATTGTTGTTGACGTCGACGGCATCCGCTCATAATCGATCATTAGGATCGTCATTGTCTTTACCAATTCCTTTATTCCGGTGCCGGAGATGGCTGTCAAAGCCCAGCCTACTGTTGAAGAGCTGTGAACAGGAGACACAGAGGGGTGTGGGCGATAGACACGTTTGGGTGAGTCGATCCCTCCTCACAGAATGTCTTCAACTGACCCATGAAGTCGAGGTTTGGGCCTCTGCGTAGCCTCTTGCCCGCCCCAAAAAAGAGATGTTCGAGAATGGTAGCCTCGATGCTGGGTAGAATTTTCAAGAGAGGACATTGTTACAGGGGGATATGGTCCAACTGATGAGAATGGGTGCAGTGAAACGCAGAGGTCCCCAGTAAATGATGTGCTCAAGTGAACCAAATCATGCTACGTTAATTATAAAAAAAAATATAGATTAGGAAACTGAACATAGAATACATTTCACTTGGAATAGTTTCGACCAACAGCGCAAACTGATAAAGAATCATGTTTTAAAATAGCCCAGTTAGATCGGGGCTTTCATGTGGATGTCACCAGTGGCATCAAACACGTTCATAAATACCTAAACTGTCCGATATATATCACTGTTTACTAAAATCAATGGTTAAAATGGCTCCGAACGAATAAAGCCTGTAGGTTTTAGCACGGGACATCGTTCTTCGAATATTGTTGACTGGCGCTGCGAAATCACGAATAGAGAACTGAACCAGATGCCAGAAGTCACATCACGTGATGACTTTCAATAGCGGCAACAACTAAAATGGAAAACACATGTAGTAACTTGAACTTTTGTAGTCCACGATGTCACCCAAGAGGCTGGTTGCTACTAAGAAGAGGGGAAAATATCCGTGCAAATGAAGGAGATCATTCAGAAGCACAAAGAAGGTACCCGTGTTTCTGACCTTGCCAATCTATACGGACGTTCAGCATCAACAATTTTCACTATCTTAAAGAATAAGATAGAAATAAAAAAGCTTGGTGTAGCCAAGGGAGTTAGCATAATTACCAAGCCTTGTCCAAAAAGCCTACAAGATGCTGAGAAGCTGTTGTTAGTGTGTCTGAATGAGAGGCAGTTACGAGGTGATTCTGAAGATATTTTACATGTGCAAAGGCAAGACCACTGTATGTGGATCTTTTCAGAAAAATACCAAGCACGTCTTCTGAAGTTGAAAATGCATTTAGGTCAAGCTGAGGATGTTTTGAAAAAAATAAAAAAAATAAAAAAGGAAGCGGCATCCACAGTATAGTGAGACATAGAGAGGCTTCGAGTTCTGATAAAACTGCCTTGTTTCAGAGGCGTTTTGAAGTGACCGAAAATACAAACCTGGCCCTAAGAGAATTTTGAAAGGATCACTTTAATATCCTAAATTGCTTAAATTTCATTGATAAAGCCCGGGAAGAAGTCACAGTGATATATTTATTTACATTGTTTGTGTATAATATTTCAAAAAGTACTTTAATTTTGCATAAAATACGATTTTTATTGATATTTATGTCAATTTTTTTTTGGTGGGGGGTGGAACGAATTAATTTTATTTCTATTATTTTAAATGGGGAAAATTGTTTCGACATACGAAATTTTGAGTTACGAATCCACTTCTGTAACGGATTAAATTCGTAGGTCGAGGTTCCACTGTATATATACTTTCTTATTTTAAATGATAATTTTGTTTAATTTGCTTCTTTGAGTGCCATTTGCTTTTCACTCTGGACTAACACGAAACGTTTCTTCTCGCACAGAATGTAAGCAAAAGTAATTTTGATTGCGCCACACCCGCAAGCCATATGTCGCCAGTCCTTCAGTGTTCAATTAGCGGCATCATGGGGCCCAGGTGAGGCACTGTCTTCAGTATCGCACTGTTAACAGGGGCAAACAGCGCCCAACTGATCTGTTGGCTTTGCGTCTTGTACACACTTTATTGTATGTGGATGTGAAATGAACTATTGTTACTTGGCTCAGGCATAAATAAATAAAGGCGATCAATACAAAAGAAGTTACGTTCCTGTTGAATCAACAATATACGAGCATTAGATGCAAGCATTTTCGAAATGACCATAAAAAATATGTTGTCCTTTCATCTGCTTGGTGTCAATATCAAATGCGGTGGCGATTCTTGACTCAGTGACAATGCATCTGCTTTAGCGATCAAAAACGAACTACTGTTTCTTTCTGGGTATGTGTGCATAAGATAAATGATATTGACGTCATCAGCTTGGCGAAACATTTCTTCTCGTTCAGAATCTAAGCAAATGTAATTTCGATGTAAAAATATGTGTACACATTAAGGGAAACAGACTGTTGCGTTTGGCAACCAGACGACAACGTAAAAATTTTATGCTAAGAATTAAAGCAGTCTTCATATACAGGCACGCTCCTATATCTATCTATCTATCTATCTATCTATCTATCTATCTATCTATCTATCTATCTATCTATCACAATCTCTGTTTTTACTAAATTTCTTTCTTTCGTCATCTGTTTCCATTTATGTCAGTCTGTTAATTTCTTTCATTCTTTCTTTCTTTCTTTCTTTCTTTCTTTCTTCGTCTGTTTATATCTATCTAAGTCTCTTTTTTACTATATTTCTTTCTTTTGTCATCTAAATCTTTCTTTCTTTCTTTCTTCTTTTTCTATCTATCTATCTCAGTCTGTTCTTTCTTTCTATCTATCTATCTATCTATCTATCTATCTATCTATCTATCTATCTATCTATCTATCTATCTCAGTCTCTTTTTTACTATGTTTCTTTCATTCTTTCTATCGTTATCTATCTATCTATCTATCTATCTATCTATCTATCTATTTCAGTTTGTTTATTTCTATTCTATCGTCATATACACTCACGCATACATACATATATTTGTATACTTATTTATAAAGATATTCGTATATTTGCTTCCGTCTTGACTGCTATTTGCTTTTCGTCCTGGACAAACGAGAAGCGATTAAAAACAAAACAGAATTAAAAATAAATTTCTATCTTCTTCTGTTTGGGAGATAAGCATTAAATTTTTTTTTTGGGGGGGGTGACTCATTTGTGTCCTTTTTCGTTGACACCTGCCGATTTTGTTTTTCTTTTTTCATTTCCCTGTTTTTGTTTTTGTTCTATCATTTCTATTCCTTTCACTTTATTCGCATGTTTATCAACAATTTTTTTCTTTCTTTCTTTTTCTTTCTTTTTCTTTCTTTCTTTCTTTCTTTCTTTCTTTCTTTCTTTCTTTCTTTCTTTCTTTTAATTTCTTTCAAAATTGATTACAAGTAATTTTTTATGCCTTACGTATAGAACAGGTTTTCCCCCTGTATTCCGGAGCACATGTGCAATGAAAAGTAGTGCCGTTGCTCGAACAGGTCCCGCCATTCTGACAAGGTTTCAAGAAACAAGCATCTGCAATGAAATTATGTCAATCAGTTTCGTAATTAAGAAACATGTCATATTTGCCGACACCAAGAACATTTCCGACTTAAGAACGCAGCCAATTTTGATTTACGAAATTTTGAAAAAGAAAAAAAACAAACAAACAAAAAACAATCAAGCAAAAAAGGCAAATATAAAATTAATTAAGATAAAAATATATCCTCTGCACTCTAGAAAATTCTCGAGAAAAAATTGACATCGTCGGCAGCAAGTAATACCATATAAATTGTTGGGTCAAAAATCCTTATGACCCCCTGCCTAAAACCGTTTTGATATTTCAGTCACCTCCAAAACAGCCCTCTGTAAGAATTCTAAATATATATTTTTCCTTTTTACTAAATGTCTACCTAATACAAGTTTCAAGAGCTATTCAAAATAGAAGACCACTGAATGACTTTGTATGGACGTAAGAGAAAGGAATAAGTGCAGATTATAATGATACGTTTGGTGAACTCCGACATATTGTAATGGTCAGCAAGTTTGTTTCGCTAGATCAGTTATGACTGAGCAGTGAGTCCGGTCCTCATTGGGTGCTCTATACTTCCGGCATTGTGTGACATCTAAGATACGCTTAGAAAGACCCTATAAGGATATGTAGGAGCCACTTCGACGTATAGTAATGATTAGCAAGCATGTCTTGTTAGATCAATTACGACTGAGAAGTGAGTTCAGTCTTTACTGAGTGCACCATACTTTCAGCCTTGTGGCTTATCTAAGCTTATGTTAAAATCGTTATAAGGATATGTAGAATAGATCAGTATTTCTCAGCCTTTTCATTCTTGTGTCCTATTTTGGTGTAAAAAAAATGTTCAACCCCCAATAAGCACAAATGGAAATTCCATGAAACAGGAAATATAAAATACAAAAATAGCAAAATATAGTAGAAAATATAAATCCCGACTAATGACTACACTTGGTTCTGGTGCCAAGTTGAACTTCCAAACCTTGGTTCAGCTTCAGACGGACTTCCAACCCCAGAAATTTCTCAGGCCCATTTGTGGGCCCAAGGACCCACATTGAGAATTACTGGGATAGGTAACGGGTGAATTAAGTTACTATAAGAACATGCAGGTGTTAACAAGAGATGTATATTATGAGGATATGTAGGATAGATAACCGCTATTAATATTTAAAATTTGTGCTATATGACCCCTTTTGTAGGAATTCTTCCATTCATTTCTCTCCTCGATAAATCATGGCCGCTCAATTCTTTACGATCTTTTCCTTTCTTCGGACCACTGCTAATAGATATTCAACACAACTGGATACGATCATCCCACGAACTATAATGCTCTGACCTTGGTCAGAAAATTTTGGCAATGATCAAATCCTCCACATCTTTTTATTGCTCTCAAATACAACATTCAGTACATCAGAAGGAAGTGCTTAAGGGCGGTATATATATTTATGTACTTGCTACACTGTAATGTGCTAGTATTATGAGACAGTAGCTGTTGTTCTTGCCGCATGTGTTTAGTCATGACGTTTGAATTTATTATTATTATTTTTTAATTCTATTATTTAATTGTTTAATCCCAAGCAAGGCGGCAATGTCACTAGAACGCAGGGGGATACGCGGAATGAAAGAGTAAGAGAATAAGAAGACACATAATAAAGTGGATTGAGAAAAGGACAAAAAAAAAAAAAAAAAAGAAACAGAATTCAAGAAGACGATTCAAGATGGCGATTGATGTCTTATTTAAATTTTTGAAGAGTGTCATTAGCAGAGAAGTAAGAAATAGGAAGGTAGTTCACAGGTGGGAAATTTGACAAAAGAAACTTAGAGTGGAAGTGGATGTTGAATCTAGCGTGTTCAACAATAAAATCTCATATCTAGTAGAACACTTAGATTCTTTTAGACGGGTCACCATGGAATAAAGCTCGCCATGACAGTTGCCATGAAAATATTTATAGAAAATACATAGGTTGGCCACTGAGTTACTTTCGTCCTTGTGCCACATCTAAGCTAAGCTTAGAAAATCATTTTTGAGCAATTTGACGTGGTGTAATGGTTAGTAAACTTGTCCTGTTAAATCAGTTACAACTGGGTAGTGAATTCGATCCCCACTCGTTGCTCAATACTATCGGCCTTGTGCCACATCTAAGCTTAGAAAATCATTTTTCGATCATGACTGGGTGGCCAATACTTTAGGTATTGTTCCTTATCTAAGCTAAGCTGGGAAAATCACTATTATAGAATCATGAAACATTTAAACTGAAAATGTTTGCATCGAATGTCAAGAAAATTTAAAAAAATATTGAATACTTCTTTTTTTACTCATTTTTATTGTTTTTTCACAAATAGGTTGGTCAGCCTCGAATAAATAAATACTGAACTAAATATCATATATATGGGATTAGTCACAATAATTGTTCATTTCTCTCAGGACTTTCCACAAATATCGGCGTGGATGAATAAAGTTGTTTTAAGTGCGTCAAAGGATGAAACCCGAAGTGCATATTATGAGGATAGGTAGGATAGATAACAGTTGACCCTAGACATGATGAGGTTAATGTCGTTGCGATCTGGAAAACATCAATTCAGTATTTTGATCCACAAGCTAACATTTATGGGGTAGAAGCTGCCTGATTGGATCTTCTCCCTTACGATGGCGATAGAGTAATAATGGCGATAGAGTACCGACACGCTAGCGTTGCTACGTCCTTCGGAAAAGGATTGCAGGGTGGGAAATAATTCATCTCCTAAAAGGAGTGTAAACACTTGGACACTATCAAGTCTAATAAGCGAATAGTTGGCAGATATGATAACAAGACTTCATTTTTGGTCTAATCGGACTCTTGTAAAGATGTCAAATGGAGCCAGATATTTTTTATTGCAGTTGTATGAAAGACTGAGTCTCGTATCATCCATTACTATCTTTACATCACTTTCGTAGTTTAACCCTTGGAATCATGGTTAGATGTTTTTCGTTTTCATTTTGTGTCCAAACAACTGTTCTTACATTTATAAATGTTGATAAACTAAGACAAGACTCATAATCACAATATTGGCAACAGAACCATTTTTAAACCATTTTTAAAATCATTTCAACCCCACCCTAAAGCGGCAAAGCCTCTAAGGCACAAGAAGTTACTGGGAGGAGAAAATAATAAGAGTACTTTAGCGAGGAGAAAGGACAATAAACGAACAGGTCCAGGAAGATACGAGATAGAGATTGATGTTGCATTTAATTTTTTGAAGATTGTAGGCGCCAGGGGAAAAAAAGGACTAGAAAGGAGAGAAAATAAACTATTAGAATAGAACTTATGGTTACATCCATATATTTCAACAGTAAAACTGTGAGATCTAGTTGCCAGTCTAGTACGCTTAAATTCTTGCAGACGATGTTCCAAGAAGAAGTAGAGCTCATTAGAACAACTGCCATCGAAATATTTATAAAAAAAGACAGAGGGAAGCCACGTCATGGCTGTGAAAAAGTGACTGAAGTCGAGATGCCAGGTCAGGACCGATAACATTACAGACATTCTTTGGATTTTGCAGAGAATCTGGAGATATATAGCCGCAGCACAAGACCATATATGGCAGCAATATTTAATGTGCGAACGGATGGTAAAAATCATGGATTCTAACGATAAAAAAATTATGTTGCAAGACACTGTGAACCAACCTTCCTAGCAGTAGACCTCGCAACTGATTCATTATAATCACCCCCCCCCTTCAAGTCATGTGAGAGCAAGAAGGTACAATGAATTAGTCTCCTGGAGATTGACATGCTGATGGAGGACAGAAACGGTTGTCTAAAGATAGCAGTTTCGTTTTGGACAAGTCATTTCTTGCCCCAGTTAACAAATGATTGGAGTTAATTTTCCAGAGCAGCTTCCGGTTTTACTTTATCGGGCCTATCGGAATTATTAAGATAGGAGTAAATAATTGTGTCATCGGCATAAATACCTAATTGGGAACTGATGACATCGAGAAAGTCATTGATGAAGATGAGAATCAACGTATATTTAAAGATGGAACAATGGGGAAGTGTTTTTTCTTTGTGAATATCAATTGTAATATTTTATTCTTCATGTTGCTGTTGAATGTAGATTATCATTTTGAATTATATTATTTTCAGACATTTATTTATCTAGGTCAGCCTGTCAGTTTTGTAATACATGCTTGGATGAATATGTCTCTTTCGTCTCATGACTGATGAGGCAGAAGATCTTCACGCAGTATGTTGCCATTTCTTCCCATCTAGGTAATGTGGCAAAAGACGATTGAACACGTGATAGAAGTCCTAAGCGTAGAATAATAATCATTCTTTATTTTCTGGAAAACTTTTTACACTATTCTGCAGTGGAATAGCACAGGAGTTTGAATTGATTCGTTTTCTACGGTTTAGCAAACTTTTGCAGGTTATTTAAAGCCAGAAAACATTTTTAGACCGTAAGAATTTCTTTTTTGAAGATAATAATAGTTTAGTGATACAAGTCTTACTGATTAACCCATA